TTCAAGAGTGCTCCTGGAATGAGATTCGAGTATTGGATTAAACCCACGCTCATTTGAATCACTTCATGGATTTTATCACAAGTGATCATGAGACGATAATATATTATATTCTTCAAACAGAGATGTTTGAGTTGTAGTTGCGCGTTGGTTGCACATTGACATATATAAACGCAACCAGTAACTTGGTTGTTATAAAACATATCGTTGTGTATAATTTGATGAGTAAGTACAAGCGAACATTTGGGTCGAAGTTTATCCATTCCTTTTACCCTTGGAGGGATAAAAGCGATATCCGTGGGCCCCTCGATGATTTAGTGATGACAAACGTAAGTGCTCGGCCGACCCTGGACTGATTTGAATTTGTTCAATTAGTCGGTCGTCATAAATCGGAAATCGGGAAACAACAAATGGACAGAGAGAATGATTATAGTCCATATCTCAGTCCATATGATATCTAGAATGGAGGAATATATGACCCCTTATCTAATGGACATGTCATTGACTAGGTCAGAGTTCGACAGCGGCTTTTAAGAGCTGCTAGTCGGGTTTTGGAGTCATACTTGCAATAACAGTTTTAGACTTATCCAAGTGGGAGACTGTTGGATTAGATGTCTAAGCCCATAACTATTATTGGTATGTACTTGAACCGAGAGTAGCATGACCTATTTGGGTTGCATATCATCAGGATAATTTGTTAGGATGGACTCTTGAGAGAAGGTTATAAATGATTTATTAATATATTATAAGTTCTAATATATTAATATGAAATCATATGTTTTAACTAGTATTGATCAAGAATTAATTTGGAATTAATTTAGTGATCAAAGGAGACTAATTAAATCTATGGGGACTAATTATGCTAATTAGTTATATTTATATGTGTTGGGCTTATGATCCATGTTGGACCAAGTTTATGTATGGGTACATAAAGAGTTGGGCCACATGAAACATGTATCATAAAACCCATGGGTATGGATTTGGGTTATACCCATGACCCTTGGAATCCTACAAATAAATAGGTGACTACATAGCCAAAAACATGACATATGTTCTTGGAGTTCATATGGATGGTTTTTGGTGTATGAAGATTCTCTCTCAAATGTCTACCTTTGTCCATGATGTGTTGTGACTTCATTTGAGGCTTCCACACTATTGAGGCTAAGCTCTTAAGGCCAAATACATCAAGACTTCAAGCTACATAAAATGTATGTTACCCTAAGTTGTATCTTATATGGTTTATGTCAAATGCATGCTAGTTATAGGTTTAATGCCTTGGGAACCATTTGGATGTATAATTAGTGAAAACATAGATCCAAGGTATTTAGGGTTGTATGTGCACCATAGAATGTTGTAGTATACAAAACCCATCAGTGTCTTGGGATGGTTCTGTCTGTGGGAGGGTCACAACATGTTGGTCAGGTAGCCTTCTTTTAACAGTGGATTGGGTGACGAGATGGTTTGGACAATTATCGCCAGATAAGGTTTCTCTCGGGAGTCGCTTGGGGAGACTGTGTATGTGTGTGTTTTTCGACTCAACAACCGGGCAGGATTCCGGTGTCTCAGATAGTTGGCAGACAAGTTGGGATCAGGGAGGTCTCGACTGCCTTTGGAAAGCAGCTAGGAGACAGTGTGATGTTGCGGGCAGTATCAATGTTTTGGGATTCGTATGTGTGGAGTAGCTTGTTGTTCGGGATATGCTTAGTCATTTGCAGTTTGGGTTAAATAATCTCAGAGTAAGTGATTTGACTATGTTGCGCAGCTCTCGGATGAATCTTCTACTCGAAGGGTTATCTGAGCCTTCTGTCAAGCATTAGTGTCCTGCAGTTGTTTATGGTCGGTGACTTTGTTTCCTTTGGTCTCATATATATAATCAGGCTTGGAAGTGTTTTGTTTAGTATGTTATTCGATAAGGAATTGGCACGGTAATGATTTAGCGGGGGCGGTCTGTCGGCGAGTCACACCAATGTAGATTTCAGGTCTCGAAAGGGTAGATGTGGTCTTCTGTAAGGGATTAAGGATTCGTTCTCTTTGGGTTTGGAGAGTTCTGTTAGGTTTGGTTTTAGTTGCCTTGGGAAGGCTGTGGTATTCACGGGATTGTGGTCGTGTTACTCAAGTTGCCTGGTATGCTGGGGATGGTAGTGAATGATTTTGAGGATGAAATCTAATTTAAGTGGGGGAGAGTTGTAACGCCCTGTTCCGAATCGATTCCTAATTCGAAGATGTGGCCTGAAGAGCGGTCATCATAAAGATTAAGGCATTTGAAAAGGTAATATTTAGGCCCATTTGGATGTGGGTAATGTAGATATGTGATGCAATAGTTCGGTTTGCACTTTGGAGTCAAATGGTAAAATGGGAATGTAGTGTTTCGGACTTCTTATATGAATTATGGATTTTAGTTCGATTTGTTTTAAGTCAAACATAATTAGATAGGGTTGTAGAGCTCCTCAATACCTTTCCGTGGATATAAAGAACGTCAAAATCGGAGGTAGCACGAATAAGTTATGACCGTTTGAAGTTTCGGTGGTTTTAGGCCAAGCTGAGTACGCTGGTTGTACAAAAAGGTGTACGCTGGGCGTAGTAAGGGAATCCTGAGTATGCTGGGCGTACCAGGATTATGCTGGGCGTACGCAATCAGTGCCCAAACCCTATTTTCGTTGTTTGAGCCATATTTAAGCTCCTTAACACCCCCAAATCCACTCCATTCTCAGCCTCCACCCCTCCAATACCCCTTTCATGAAACCCGAACCTTAGATAAGCCTTGTGACCTAAAAGAAGGTGATTTTGAGTGCTTTGGAGTATGAATGGTGCACCTTAGAGAAGAAGGAACTTCTTGTAGAAGTGTTGGTTGCATTGGAGCTTGTAGATCTGGACTTTGTTCACTGTGATCTATCTTCTAGAGGTATAAAGTTTGAATCTTGATGATTTATTTGTTAGATCTAGCTAGTTTTGGATTTTATGAGCTTTTGGTCATTTTAGTGCATAAAGTTTAGATCTTGAAAGTTTGTGACCTTGTCATGGATAAAGTTGGAAACTTTATCCATCTAAACATCATTGTGATTCAGATCTGAAGGTTGGACACTTGGACTTAATGGATTAAGTTGAAAAAGATACACTTTTGGTCCCATTTGATGCTTAAAGGGCTAGATCATGGTGGTTTAGACCATTCTAATGGATAAAGTTGGAAACTTTATTCATTATTGAGCTTTTAGGATCCATAAAAATGTAATCTTGATCCTTCTATACATTCCATGAGAGTGTCATTATGTCTTAATGGATTAATAAGTTAAGGTTTTAGCTTTTGGACGTTTTCTAGACATGGAAAGGCATAAAGGTGGAAACTTTTTGACTTAGAAAGATGTTGTGGGACTAGATATGAGTGTTGAATGAAAGGACTTAAGAGATTAAGCACTTAATGGAAAAGTGCCATTTGGCTAGGTACGCCGGGCGTACCTTCGAGTACGCTGTGCGTACTCGTATGGGGTCCCGATTTTGGTTGGTAAGTAAGCCATGCGTACGAGCTAAGTACGCTGGCCGTACTCAGGCTCAAGTTTGACTTGTTGCCTTCGACTAAGATTTTATCTGGTTCTGCTATTAGTGGTTTTGCGGGTGCAAGTTGTGCAAAGAAGGGTTCATGTCGTAGTGTTTCAGGGTTCATCGATTTAGGTGAGTCTCCTCACTATATCAATGGGTCGAAGGCACGAATACCGACCCATTACGTGTTATGTTGTATGCTAGTTGTCTCTGTGATACTTGCATGGAAGACCTCGGGGGGAGCCCATGACACTTGGATATCAGACCATGTGGGGGAGCCCATGGCATTCCAGGTCAAGACCATGGGGGGAGCGAATGACACTTGGATATCAGACCATGTGGGGGAGTGCATGGCATTCCAGGTCAAGACCATGAGGGGGGGGGGGGGGGGGGGAGCCCATGGCAACTGTATGTATGTTGCATGATATTCTGTGGTTGTATGTTATATGGTATTTTGGGAAACTTACTAAGCTTTGTGCTTACGATTTTCAGTTTATGTTTCAGGTACTGCGGTTTTCAAATGGAAGGGCTCGACATGATTGTTAAGCACACACCACATGTTTCAGCATTTTGTGAATCACTATGATTTAATGATGTTTAGCTAAAACTTGTTTCTCTTGGTCTTATGTGAAAGATATGTATTAGCACTTTATTAACCTAGAAAAAAAATTATGTCTTGATTTTTGGGACATTACAGTAACAACTAAAAAACCTAAGTTATGATCAACAAATCTTTGCAAATATCATAACAAATAAGAAAACAAACTTGCTTTCACAGCTTAATAGCAGTGAATTCACAACTTAATAGAAATTAAAACTAACATTATGAAAAGTAAACAACAAAAAGAGATTAAAACATTAAATTCACAACTTAACCAAAGGAAAAAAATCAAAACAAAAATCGATATACTTGACGTAGATATGGTGATGTTTCACCTGAGATCGGAGAGAAAGAGATGGAGACGAGTTGACGGTGTTTCACCGGAGCGGTGAAGCAACAACAACGATGGGGGTTGATGGCGACATCAGCTGGTCCACCAATCTCGTTAGGATTCATAGATCTGGAGGAATAATCAGACATCGTAGATCTAGAGGCATAAACCGTAGATTTGTTGCCGAATATCGTATATCTATTGCCGAATATCGTAGATCTGGACTAGAGCACTTCAGATCTATAGATTTTATCTAAATGAAAAAGTGTTGGAGTTTTGATCTAAATGTTAGGTTGTAAAGTTAAAGGTCTCAAAATGACCATTATGCTCTTATTGCTATAAAAACTTACAAAAAAATAAAGACCTACAATTGAAAACTATACCTTTAATTATAAGCTAAAAATAATCGTTCCTAGAGTTAAAACAAGGCTTTGCAAACAATTATTTTTTGGACACCAAGAGTTAAAAGATCTCTTATTTTACAATACATATTAAGTGCATACTTCCATCGAAAGAAGTCATGCAAATTATTTATTTCACATATAAGCACTACGTAATGCATAATTGCATTGTGAAACATCTTTTAGTATATCACTGAAAAGATGGTTCTTTCTCGGTGTTTCCATTAGTTTTTAGTTTGTTTGTAAGCAGTTGCTTCTTCAAACGTGCTGCAACACTTGCACCCTCCTCTACTATAGGGATCTCTACCACCACAGCAACCACGCCTACAACCTTTGTCATGCCCTCCATAGTTACCACTTTTGTGATGCTCTCCAAGTCCACCGCCTATGATGTGTCCTCCACGTCCACTGTCGTTAATTTCACCTGCAGCTTTAAGTGTTAATTAACTTGCAAGTTTAATATGTTTTTTAAAAATAAAACACGTAAGAGAGGAATTTTATTTACTGTTAGTGTTTTCAGCCAACTGCCTAGCTGCAGCCACTTCGGAGGTAATGAGAAGGACAACAACAAAAGCTAGAGTAAGAAGGAAAGCTCTTGGAGCCATTTTCGCTTGTTTATACAAAATGAAATTTATGGAAGATGGATGTGTAAATTAGTGTGTTACACGTCTCTATTTATAGAAGGTTTTTTGATTAAAAAAATTATTGCTATGTCCTCCTTTTAGTGGTTGGGTGGTGAGGATTGGGGCTAAGATTAGGATACTACCATTTTTTTTTGCATGTGCTTGAATTTTATCACTTTTTTTGGAACAACAAGAAAGAAATGTCAGCTAAAGGTACATGAATTATACGTAAACACAATTAGGGTCAATACACCAGTCAAAAAAATGCATGAAATTGCACCTCATTAGCTAAATCCTTGCTGTTTTTAAGTCTGTTGTTGAATTATATCATTGGTTTATTTTAAACTTGAAAATTATTACGACTTAAAAAAGCTACCAACGAAACAAAGAAGAAGAATACATAGATATCGAAATAGACTTTTGTGTAAACTTATTTATTTATATTTTAACATATATTTTTATATTAAATAAGAAAAGGTCATACTACAAACCCATCCATGTTATCCATAAAAAAAATAACAATTTAATGTCAAAAAGGTCATACTATAAACCCATCCATGTTATCCATAAACTTTTGTGTAAACTTATTTATTTATATTTTAACATATATTTTTATATTAAATAAGAAAATACATAAATAACAAATTCTCTTTTATATACTACAACAATTTCAAAAATATGAAAACAATGAAGTATTAGACAAATGAAAACCAACGAGAACTCATGGTGGTGTCCAATTGAAAATTTATAAATTTCTTTTTATGTTTTTTTTTTAAATTAGTATAAATTGAAATAAAACTAACATTAATAATATATAATATTGATCTTATTTTAAATCGTAGTGTAATTTTTTATTTTACTTTTTGGTAGTTATTTTTTTTATATCTTATGCAAATATAAGAAAATGGCTCGGTCATAAAATAAAAAATTTAAACTTAACAGGGTGTAATTATGTAAAGATGAAAATTAAAACAAAAGATATAACTTTTGGTTGTCGCCCCACATAATGGTAGCTTTCATCAAAATTTGTCCACGTTTTAACGAAAGTTTCTCTCGAGCATTCACACCGGAAGCTTTTAGAAAAGTTTCTGTCGAGCATTCACACCGGAAGGTTTTAGAGTTTTGTTAAGAAACAAATTGTATAAAAAAATTAAGATTTTATAAAATTTTGATTTTAATAATGTGTTATTTTTTCTACAATCAAGATATTAACTTTTATAAAGTTCAATAAAAGACATTATATTTTTTAATTTGTTTTAATGTAAACCATTTTGACCGATATATGTGAGTTGACATTACATGGTGACGTATATTGTCTTTGATAATGTGTCGCTTAGGTAACATTTTTTTGTTGACATCACTTTATGTTTGTCAAAAATAAAAAATAAAAGAAAAATTTTATAAAAACTTAGTGTTTTTTTTTGTGCAATTTGTCCTTACTATAACAAAAGAGAAATTAAATATCCTCCTACTTTTGTTTCTACAAATCTTCCTAACCAATTAAATAATGACATGTGTCATATTTGTATATTAAAATTTCATTAAATGAACATTAAATGTTACACATGTCACTATTTAATTGGGTATGAGGATTTTTAGGAACAGAAAATAGGAGAATATTTAATTTCTCATAACAAAATAATTAGGACTCGTTAAAGAGTTAGAGTCCCTTTGTAGGCAAGTTTTTAGAGCAAAACAACAAAACAAAATCGACGTTTACACATGCAGTGTTATAATCTTGTTGCTATTTAGTTTGCATTCCAATCACCATTTTCAGGATTTTCCTCGATAGGTCCCTGATTTTAAATTTTAAATGACCACGACCTTTGATCTACCATGAAGCCTGACAATTAGGAAAAATATATGTAATAAGCTAGATAGAGTATTTACTAGCTTCATGGTGGATCAAAGTGCCATGACCAATTAAAATAAGGAATTTGTCGAGGAGGTGATGTCATCGAAAAATGTCACGTTATCATGACATGTTAGCGCCACATTATTAAAGACTGACATGTCACCATGTCACGTCAGCTGGCAACTGAATTACTTCATCTAATGGTCAACATTAAAACAAATTTTAAAATAGAACATCTTTTATCGAACATTGTGAAAACTTAGTGTTTTGATTAAAAAAGAAATAATGCGGTGTCAAGATCGAAATTTTGTGAAAACTTATTGTTGTTTATGCAATTTGCCCTATAACAAATATAATGAAATATAAAAATAAAAATAAATTGGAAGATATCTTTATTTTAAGAAAAAAAATAAACCTAATATTCTTTATATTTTAATATCATATTCCATTAAATCAATAAGTTTTTTAGCAATTAGGCTCAAACAACTTACAAGTTTATGTATTTGAGTTTTATCCGGTAAACCAGTAAGGGATAAAATATGAGCTTTTTTCATAAATATGATCAAAATTTAAGGGTATTTTAAAAAATAATTTTCTTTTTAATTTAATTGTATTATGTTACTATAATATTCATATAATACTTTCTATGTGACACAAAGTATTATCTTATTGTATTTCTATATTTGACAGAAGATATTATCTTACAATATTTTCTTTGAAGTAAAAATAATAATCTAAAAACTACAAAAAAAATTATTTTTAGAGAAAAAATCTTTGTAAAACAAATGTTATCAATGTTGTTAAAATCACAATTCTAATCATAGGATCGTATTATCATACAATTACACTTAGTTAAAATGATCCTGATCATACTTGGATATTTTTTGGCTAAGATCGAGGTATGATCATAAGGTCGGATCGTAAGATTGTATGATCGAACGTAAGATTATTACTATTTTTTTTTAAAGTCTAATACTTTGTGTGAGAACCAAGAGGATTTTGTCATTGGTCACCGTTAGGAAATAACAGGAAAAATAAATATAATAGTTTAATATTGTAATGTTTTATTTTAAGATAATAAAAATCAAATGTGTCGTTACATTTATTGTTAAAACGACTATTAGGCTCAAAATTAAGCGTCCAAACAGTTGTACCGTCTTTTAAGTTGGTTAACATACTTGGAAAGTACTCGTTAACATGATCCCAATGATATAAGACTCGTAAAAATCTGACTCCAAAGGAAAGAGTTATGAATTTTATAAAAATAGAAATCAACGCATAATTAAAATTTGTTTCGTCAAAACGGTACTTAGAGCTTGGTTGGGTTCTGACTAAAAGTGAAAAGGAGATTCGTAGTAATCCTTAAGATAAAAACTTTAGGACAAAGAGTGCCGAAAACGGAATCCATATGAGAGAGATATGATTTTTATAAAAAAACTTTTATTTTTACCCCTGTTGTGCACAAAAAAAAAGTCAAAACTAGCTAAAGCAACTTAAAAGAGAGTTGTAGTACTCATTGAGATAATTACATAGATATACAGTGGGCTTAGATCGGAGCTCACACGAAGAAGTTATGATTTTTAAAAAATCTTCTCGTGCGCGCGTATGCCCGCTGTGCACCTACCATCGGATTCGAGTAGATTGCGAGTGACGTGGCCCATTGGGGGGTAGTGACACGTGGCCTTGTCCGGATGGAGACACAATGATCATGCGCGTCACACCCAGATATTTGCGCTGCGCACGCCCCAAATCCATGCCTATTAATAGAAGGCAGTGCATATCACTTCTACACACCATTCTAAACATCTCTCTTTGCATCTCTCGAACTTGCTAACCTTGGAGCGGTCCCTAGAGTCCTGAACCCGGTTCAACCCCAAACCAACGGTCTCACACGACTAGGGTAATTTCACGACCCCATTTTACTGTTCTAAAAGTTTTACCGATTGGGGGGGGGGTGGGGGGAGGGATACATGCTTATCAAACTAATTTATGAAAATATATTTATATCCATAAATGAGAATCGTTTTATAAAGATTGAAACCTTAGGATAATGTCTCGATAGATATTATACCTAGTTGTAAGCTATGATATTATGTCTAAGAGTTATGATGCCCGATAGTCTAGGAAGAGATATTACCTAGATTTTATAATAACCAATTTCCTATGATAACATACTACCTAGAAGTAATGTTGGTCAAACATAGGGATATGCACTGTACCTAATCGTTACTATGTCCAAATATCCAGTTATCAAAATAACCATAATTAGAGTATATATGTATGACATATATATATATATATATATATATATATATATATATACACTAGATAATTTTTAGATCTAAAAGATAAAATTATCAAATATAAAATTAAAGGGGTTTATGATGTGATAGTTATACGTAATCATTAAGAAATAAAGATAAAAGATAAAATACTTAAGGTTAATACGTTACTCAACTGATATTATTCATTCTTAGACTAATTAAATTTAGCTATCTCGAACCTATAATCGTTTATCTTGCGAGAGCTAGAAAGATATGTATAGATCTATATGGGGATTGACATTCCCACCTGCGATTGCTAGTTACAATCGCGACATGATAACTTTCTAATTATTCACAATTCGACGTCCGATGAAGCGTCATGCGGGAAAATCACTAGTCAAACAATGTCGATTATGCGGGCTCATGGTAATACATTACAACCACCATAGAGACCCGACTACCAAGAGGGACGTGTTAGAGTGGTTGATAAAATACGTTAGAGATAGTAAAATATATATCCTAAAAGATAGTAAATTAGGATTAATAAAATATCCTAAAAGATAATAGGATAAGATCGTTAAATATCCTAAAAGATAGTAAATTAGGATTGGTAAAGTATCCTAAAAAGATAGTAAGCTAGGGTTGATAAAATATCTTAAGAAATATTTTTCTAAAAGAAAAAGGATTCTTAGTTTAATACAATCAAATAAACCAGAAAACTATAAAAACCTATGTATTCACCAACATTATGTTGACGTTTTAAAAAATACATATATTCTCAGGGAGATGAATGTGGAGGATAGTCGTGCCCAGGAGGAGATCTTCAAGCAAGCTTGCTTGAGTTTAGTTCCGACTGTTTGTTATTCCTAGTTATGTTCAAGATGTGTACCTGACCTATTAAACCATC